GAAACTGATAGGATCCCTGTAGCTAATTCTGCAAACGGGGCGTTTGGCCTCTACCCAAGCGTCGCTAACATCATCTACATTTTCGCTACTCGCCAAGCTAGCCTCTCCATCCTCTCCATCGTCCTCTGCTTTTCACTCACCCATCCTCGATAATCACCTCCGACAATTAGCACACTCCCCATCGCACGCGCTCACCCCAGACACTCTCATACTGCCTATTCAAACGCGGCGTTCGCAGCTGACAAGACACACCACCATGCGCCTACATCGTGATGCCCAGAACGCCGTGCTGGGTACCTTTGGTGGCATGTTCGGCGGCGCTGGTCTTGGGTGGTGGCTTACATTCGGGGAAAGCGCCTTGAGTCTCGGTGCCGGCTCGGAAGCAGGGACTGCTTTGGGTGCTGGCGCACTTGTCGCCATTGCCAGTATAAGGTGGGCGGTGGGAAAGTGGGAGCGAGCGAAGAGGCACTGGGTAGAGGATGCTAACAGGGTCAGTGAAGGGCTTAAGAGAGATCTCAAGGTAAGGATCAAAGCGGCTTTGCAATGGACTAGACTTAAGTGTGTGACAGGTCGCGTTGCAGCAAGGTATCGAGAAAAATGTTGCTGTGGTTCCTATAGTAGCATATCAAGGGCTGCGAGAGCTCGCTGCGAAACAACAGGAAGAGGTTGATCTTGTTAGGAGCGACCTTGTCCCGATGCAAGCGGACCTTGAAGCGCTTGCAACTATTCGACCTTTATAGTAACATCATGGGATATGCTGCATTATCTCTGTCTTGGATGATATAGATGCAAAGATATGCTATGACAGAGTTAAATGGTGGTTGTATTACATGATGCCATGAAAATCCTTGATACGTTCATGAACTCGTGATGATGATCTTTGGAGGTGGTAGAGGTGTGTCTCCAGATCTCTCGTACTGTGGACGTGGGGTGTGTGTATCCTCTTCTTCGTCACTGTCATCGCCAACACCGAACAGCTCCTCTCGTTCGTCCCAAACGTCGCCTAAACGATTAACCTTGGTAGGCTTTGACTTGGACTGTGCCGTGGGTTGTGAGGTATAGAGGGGTAAGAGCTGTGTTCCAGAAGATCCTTCATCGTCTGACTCATCCACATCGGAAATTTCGCCTGTCTCAAATGGGCGGTATAGGCGTGCGATCTAGGGGATTGCGGTTAATTCATGTCATATTGGATGACGTTGGAGGTGCTCACCTCTCGTCGCGAACGGTAATATCTCTCAATGTAATAACCGATATATAATCCAAGCGCGGAACCCAGCCAATTTGCCTGTTAGGTGTGATTGATTACTGGACGAAAAGCACGACACCAGGAGAAGACGTACTACCACATGACCAAATTCAAATTCCTTGGGCTGTTTGGGTATGAGCTCGTTATACTCGCGCAGACAAGGAAAGGGAACGCACTGGAAGCATGGACTGCACGATCTCACTCACGAAGCCTCCAAAGAAGAAACATACGATAGCCGTGAAGATGAGACCTGAATGGCGCCAGAACCATATTCTACGGGCTTCTCTAGGGCGGGAATAGCTTCAGCAAGTGTATCGGCAAAACCACAAGCGACGGGCTCACTCCTCTACGTCAAATATAAAGTAAAACACGCCGGTTGCGACACATAAGCAAGTAAAGTGGTAGAATTTGTCATTTAAGGGGAGGGAATGCGACAAATTGGAGAAACCCAAGAAAGCGAGTATCAGCATTATTGCACTGGTGAACACGAGGAACCACTGTGATGTAATAAGGACCTAGCGGTCGTGTGACAGCGAGGAGAGGCATACCGGGCGAAGTCGAATGGGCAGGTCGTATTTTGGAAGCTGCACACGGTGCGACTTCATGATTGCCTTGGAAATTCTCTTGAGGTGCTTGCGCATGTATTTCGATGGCGACGATGAATTCGCCGCCATAGGTAGTTGGGCATGACCGGGCATGACGCTGAGCGGGGCGAGCTCAAGTGGAATGTCAGCTGAAGGCGAGTCGGTGGGAAGTTCCTTCCATATATACTCGTTCGATAAAACCTGCGACATTGTACAGTTGCCGGTTACACCGACTTCGGACTTCATGCACCGGATCGCGAGAACTCGTTTCCTCGCCATCAGCCGTACCATGTCGACGCATTCTACTACATCCCCGCTATCAGCATTTTCTGCTTGTGAAATATCAGACGCCCTCATCAAGCTAGGATCTCCAAATGGGGGTCACATTCCTGATGTCCATATGCTTTCTCCGACGTCAGGAGCGTCGCAAGTCAAGATATGTGCACCTGCATACACCGTCCAAATGGTGCCTGCATCAGACAAATCAGCTCCTAAACTCTCCGCCCATTTTGTGGACACCGCAACTCCAGGTTCTGTGATCGTCATCAATGCCCCTCCTCGTTCAGTTTGTTCTCCTTCCCGTTCTATCTCCGGACCCTTGTGCTCATGTCCGCCCTTTTTATGACTAAATATCATATCGTGCAGAAGCAAAGAACGCAGTTTGGGGTGGTCTCATGACCGCGGGTGCACAAGCCCGGGGAGCCGTCGGCGTTGTGATCTCTGGGCGCTGCAGAGACCTCGCTGAACATCGTGCAGCCGATTTTCCGGTGTTCGCGCGCGGACATTCGACAGTGGGACAATCCCCTTTCGTACGCCCGTCCGCTGTCAACGTTACTCTTACCATTCGTCCGCAAGACGCGGGTGAAGGTCCGGACGCATTTGCCCCTGTCTCAGTGACACCAGGGGATTGGATTGTTGCAGACGAAGACGGTGTTGTTTGCGTGCCAATGGATATGGTAGACAGGGTTGTGGAAGTTGCTTTGAAGGGACAGGATGTTGATGCGAAGTGTATGACTGATATCAAAGCTGGGAAGGGTGTCCAGGCATCTTTCAGGGAGCGCAGGGGCAAGTAGAAACTGAAAGTTCGTTGTCATCCGCATAGAAGACACCGATATATACTTACCCGACGCGTGAATGTCGATTTACATCTATGATCGCGGTAATCTCTCAGATGACCTAGGATTACCCGCGCCCCGTATTTGCGAAGTGGAGTCGCGACGCATCGTGTAGAGGATATTGAGAACTCTTTCCTCGTTTCTCCACCTTCAGCGCGCGGCGCAAGACTTTACTCACCCATTCTCAAATCCTGCTCATTTGGTCCGAGCTTGTCTGCTAAATTACCCTCTGCGCAATATTCAGAGGGTCTGACTTCGTGAAGATGCACCCAGCCTTGCAATAAACAGGTCTCTATCACGTGTCCCTAAGCACGTATGACAAGCTTGTTGTTGTGCGCAAGTCTGGTGGCAGAATTGTCATTATTTGCATCTGCCGCAGTGTCCCTGTCAGCGTGAACCCTTGTCAAATGTTGGAAAAGCTTATTCAAAATCTACCTCGATGTCGGTCATGTCCGACCCAACGTAGGAGGCACCTGGGCTTTGACTGAAGATGTGCTTCTAATCGATCATCCCGGTACTAGTAAGTTGCAGATTCTCCAGGTATGCCAGTCACTGCTAGCTTAAGAAACGGCAGCTCATCGAACAAAAAGCACAGGCTTCCCACTTGATGTTGGACTCTTTGACCGTCTCAGTCTATATCATGTTGTGGACTGAAGTTCTAGTGGGGGCACGCTTAACTCCTTCGTCTGATCTCACAGTTAGCGAGCCACTCGAGAATCCTAGGTGTTTCTCTATAGTGACTTGAGGAACGAGTCAATACCTTCACAGCCCCGGCGTCCCATATCTCCATTGCTTGACTTAACTGACAAGGATGCCCTCATGCCCGCTGTAAAACCGCCCCCTACCGCCGGAAAAATGACCCCCGCTCCCCCGAAGGTCCAGAAAGGGAGTAAGAGGGTTGCTGCTGCCCCCCGAACCAAGGGTGACCTCGAATAACTCCTGGTCGAAAGAAGACAAATGGCTAATAGGACGTTGACCCTACTTGCATCATCTTTTCTTTATTCTCTTTTACTGCTTCTTTCTCCCATGGACTACTATATTCTTGATACAAGTACTCACCTGTCAATGCAATGCCTTGTATGGCCTTCTAAAGTACAACACGCTTCGCGTGATCAGTAAGAACTAGCGTACCCTGGAAATATTAATGGCTCAGCAGTCTTGCAAGTTGTAAGATCAAAGCCTCTCATGTGGTCCCATAAAGCCATCCAAGGGAGCACCTTCTAAGGCCATTTTAGGGAGGGCTAGTACTAGTTTCCTTGCAAGACATAGGCTTTCTGAATGATGAGTCATGCGTGGGAAGTTTTGTTCGCTGTTCATCACCCACTGTTAAACAGTGACTGCCACTACAGAGTTTGCCACCAATCACCCTCAGGCTTACATGGACAGCCAGAAACTATTTACCTTAAAGGTGACAGCAGATGAACTTGCTCTCATTGAGCGTGCTCTATCAGGATTAGTTCCAGTTCAAGTTCGACAACCTAATGACACCATATCCTTATTACAACAACGGGTTCAAAATTTATGCCCTCATCCTGATATTACACTGCCAACTCCAAATCCTTCCATCCATCATGCTGGTGCTTCCCATTTTCTATCTTCCACAAGGTTATCAGCACCTGGGACCCAGGCTCACACAACGGCCACATCACCTGGGTTGCCCTTACCTTCTATGGGAGATCAGACATTGCCTGCTCAAGAAAATCTTCAGGATCCAGCCCAAGTGACCTCAGTTACTGACCAGTGGGAGATGCTGGCCAGCTTTGGTCTGGGCTCTGTAGTAGACCCTGAAACAAATGACAAGATGTAAGTTTAGCAAAAGTTGCCGCCACCAGCTACTCATTTTTGCAC